ACTGAACAGTACGTTTATCGGGTAAAGGGACATCTAAGGAAGTCTGATGGAAGCACCATCGGGATTCTTATGTTGTCAGTGCATGTTAAAGTGGGGAGGGAAGGGGGTGGGGCATCTCAAAAATACACGTTGTCCCTATTATTTTTGTGTCTTTCCTCCAGGGCATCAAAGCTGTGATATCAGAGAGCTTTGAACGAATTCATCGCAGTAATTTGGTAGGAATGGGTATCATGCCCCTAGAATATCTTCCCGGCCAGAACGCAGAGAGCCTGGGACTGACCGGAAAAGAAAGCTACACTATTGAAGTACCTGAAGATCTGAAAACCGGCCAAACAGTGGATGTGAAGGTAGGCGATGCAAATACCTCTTTTGTAAACGCCTGAGGCCAGTTTTGAGACACTTAAAAAAGTTTGAGGTGTATTTTTAAGTCTTCATTAGTAAAACGTAAGAAATTCACGACTCAGAATTGAACGCAGGCCCTGTGGTTGTAAATCTCTTTTTCTCATAAATCTCATGCCCACTCTATGACGCGGGTTTGTCAGAAATCTGAAAATGTGAAGTATGTAACTGTGTTTCGTAACTGATACATCGATAATAAGTGACCTTAGCCGTTTTCCGAACATTTACCGCAAAAATTTTCTTATTTTTGTAAATTCCATCTACGAGCCCTAAACTTGAAACTGTTAAGGCAAAATCACTCACTAATACATAAAGGTTAATCCCTGGTATTATTGACGCTATCTTACAAATAGAGGTAAGCTTCAAAAATAGGGCCGACCAAAAGTTACCCGGTAATGGCTCAATGTTTTTGACCGTGAAAGTTTTGCAGGCTAAGTGCAAAACCTTTTTTGTGTAATTGAGTTATATAAGCATGAGAATGAAAAATCAGTTTCACATCAAGAGCTTCGCAATTAGCCTCGTTTTGAAACAGAGTCTTGCGGCAACTCGGAAATAGCCTATTTTGTCCATGCCTTTGCTGCCTTTTTGCCTTTCTATATTTCTTTTGTTTCGTTAAGTGCTGAAATTGCCCAAAATCACCTGACCTACCTTTAAGAGTGCGTGTGTATTTTTTTCGCGGTTGTTTAATTGATTTGTTTGTCTGTTTGCTTGCAGCTGAATGATGGTCGTTTGTTCAAAGTAAAAGTTCGTTTTGACACAGATGTCGAGCTGATGTACTTTAAACATGGTGGCATCCTGAACTACATGATTAGGAGCATGTTGCAGTGAATAATCCCTGAAATTATCGCTATTTTCCTGAGCTTATATTTAAATGCTGGTCATCAGTGAAGACAGTGGGAAAAAATGCGAATTTTCAAGAGCTGACCTATTTGCTCTCCACACCGTTGAATCAATAAAAAGGAAAAAAAACGTGGGGGATTGGGGATAAATAGGGGCGTTGGTTTTTCACAATCATGAAATAGACAGGCTCGATTACTAACCGCTGGTCGGGAAATAAGCCCGCGCTCCTCCCTCTTCTTTGGGAAGACCGAGAAAGCGACGGAGATCGAACTTAGAAATAGACTATCTCCGAATTTCAAGATCCTCACTTTCCAACAGAGGTGAATTGCAAACACTTTGTACGTGAAAATGAGTGTCACACATTGCAAGAGAATAAAAAAATATATTTCATTTCAAAGAGTTTGCATTTCACTCTCGATTGAAAAGGGCCTTATGGTAACTCGGAAGTGAACAAATGTAGTTGAGCCCGCAATACCTCGTAGTCCAAAATGTCACAAAGAAGCGAATGACGCAAATTCACCCCTTTAGAAATGAGGAAACTGGGCCGAGTTAACTTTCGCAAAGACTTTTGGGATCGTTACTGAGGACGCGGTGGTTAGCCATTGGTCAATTTTTTCCTCTGTCTCCAGTAACTGTCCCAGAAGTCTTTGCAAAAGTTAACTCGACCCAGTTTCCTTTCCGTTTCTGAAGTGTCGATTAGTAATTTAAAATAGTCCTTTCGTTTCGTTTTCATATCAGCCAATACAACTTTCCCGCATGATTGGGCAATATAACAGGAATTGCTCATGATTTCTTCTCTTTTTTAAGGCACCTGTATATATGATACGAATTCAACCTGACTATTTAAGAAGAATATCAGGCAAACTACAAGAAAAAGAAATTATATTTTTAGCAATGCCTAGTGATAAAAAAGTGCTACTTATAAAAATGTGAGACAAATGTTAGATTCGAATTGACAAAATATTTCAAATAGTTGTAAGAGGGCTTTAATTAAATATTCTGTCTGAAACTAGTAGTCTTTGTCCTGAGAAAACAGAAACCAAACTATTTAACAGTGTTATTCATAAACGTTAATACTTGTAACACGCTGAAAATAAAGTGAACAATTTGAACTGGTTGTTTTGGTAGTGTTGTTGTTTGTGGTTTACGTCTCGCAGTGGTGGTAACTGGAATAGTTGGGTTTCTTTTTGAGTCTCGAAAGCCAGGAGAAACAGGGGTCCCTAATCCGTCCTTAAAATCACTTTCGAATGCAGAACATCTTTATTTTGTTTTCGGTTTAGTTTGTTTTTCCTGCAGGTCCCAGTTGTTCGAAGGCCGTTAAATTTTTATCCGGGTTTCTATTTTTTACAAGAACTTTCTTTGATAATTTTCTAAATTCTTTTTAGAACACCAATCATCAAATTGTAGACGAGGAATTGAACTGAATCTGCTTTTTAAGATTTCATATCCGAAATCGAATTTCGCACTCACCCTGGGTTGTCTTAACCGAGCTTTGAACACCCCGGCCCAGAGCGTTTACACTCAAGTGGCCAAAGTCTATGTACATTTATTGGAACTAAAGAAAGCGTTTACATAAGAAAAGATTTCAACTCCGACAGGATTAGCCTGATTCACCAACATGGCCGCTGTTTCATTGTTTTGGAACATCAACAGTCGACCGCCGTGACGTCACTTGAAAACGATGTATTGCGGACTTGAGTGGTACAGTTTGAAAACGCTTAAGAAAGACCAAAAAACAAGATGGAAGTTACGCGCTGAGTCGCGATCAAGGCATTAGTGAAACTTGTCCCAGGTTATAACAGACCAAAATACATTTGCATTTGAGCATTTACTGTATCATTTCAAATTTATTGCAAATGCAGTGAATCTGTGCATTGCTGTGATACGCTGTTTTCACAGACTATATATAAACTAAAAGCTTGCTTGCATTCAAGGTCGATGCGCGTAATATGTCATACGTAAAAGAGTAGAGAGATTTCGCATCACGTTTATGGTAACCGGCAAACGTCAAATTGACGATTTCTCAAAGTAGGAACTGAACGGATTAAAACTGTGCAAGCTAATTCTTGCGGATGAAAGTGGCGTGAAACTAATAGTTTTATTGTAGACCTGATGAACTGTAAACGACAAGTAAAGGGATAAGAACGTGAGTTCAAATGGTACAAATTGACGTTTGTCGTAAACGCGATTCTATCTCTCCCTATTTTTTCGCACCACACTTGCCTCGTCTTCAAGCTCCTTCCGGTTCACTGCGACTGAATAACGAGTATGACTTATAGTGTACGAATATCATGTTACCATATTATGAACATACATTTACCTAAAATAAACTTCTTGCCTCAGTTGTTCAAACGATGGATAGCGCCTTCCATCGGATAAATCACTATCCATTGGATAAGTAGTAGCGAAACCAATTGCACTATCCAGTGGATAGAGATTTATTCAGCGGATAGCGCTATCCACGATTTGAACAACTGGAGCCTGGTATAATTGATAAAGTGGTGCCTACCACCTGTAATAACACGCTTGCTATACATTTTTCCCCACAAAACGTCATGACGTGTGCGCAGGGGTGTGCGTTATGTACAGTGTTAGTTGTCGTCAGCCTAGTCCCTAGGCGTTCTCTTTTGCTCAGTTGTCCGCGCGAAGTCTGGGAAAGAGCGGGTGAGAGAATGACGAGTATCTCTCGGTGACGTCACAACTCACGGTAGAGTCTAGGATTGACCGAGCCGAGAATGCCTAGGGACAAGGCTGAGTTGTCGTATAGTTATGCGCTTGTGGACACGAATGAACATGTTATTGTGTATGAACCTTTTATATAATCAAACGTCTTGGCATCAGTTAGTCACTCATCCACCTAGCTAGGTTGCGGCCCAGTCCCTAGGCGTTCTTGGCTCGGTCAATCCTGGACTCTACCGTGAGCTGACCTTTCCCAGACTTCGCGCAGACAACAAGGAAGGAGGGAACGCCTAGGGACTAGGATGTTCGGAAACATGCTTTACGATCGCGAGATTGAGAGCAATTTGACCAGAACTAAGCTAGAACAAATGGAAAATGAAGTGTGATGATAAGAAATTAAGCGACATTAATCTCTTCCTTGAAAAAATAAAAAATAAAACTTTATCAGTCTTGACCTTTCATCTAGTCAGTTTTGATTTAATGGTTGCTTCGACCTGAAGAGCTTCAAAAACTGTAGAACGAGTTGGCCTAAATTAGGCCCTGTCCAAATATATCCGAGTATTTTGGACAACGGGGATTTTTTCCTCCGTTTTCGTAAAAATACGCGTCTACACGTAAGGTATTCAAATGGCTTTCGCCCATCCACACGAAAACGCTAAAACGATGGAAATACGATAGCATATAGTACTAAAAAACCTGCTTTCCTTCGTCCACACGAAAACGATAAGCCAGCGTCTTCAAAAAACTCCACTCTGGGGACGCGTTCGGAAACCTGCTTTTTTGTCGCCCGAAGACGCCGTTTACGTGTGGACGGAAGGCTAAAACGAAGGAAAAAATCTCACTTTTTTCGAAAAAAAAATACTCGGATGCGTGTGGGTGGGGCTCTCATTTGTTTGTGCCTGTGGAATTTCTCTTCCAAGAGGTTTGTGGCCTGCCAGTGTCTATCGCGGTCTTAAAATAGGGCGTACTTTGCAGATGTCGTTGTGCTTTATACAGTACATAATTATATACTCTACACCATGTCCATCTGAATTTCCCGCTAAGCGATAGCATCCCCAGGGCAGATTTGTTATGTCGACCAATTAAGTAGACTTAGTGACTTTCCATTGCAAAATACTCGCGTCTCGACCACCTACGCTGATAAGTCGGGTGTCGTCAAATAGAAATCGCACACACATGACATGCGCACTGTGCCCTTTGGCGACCCTTGGCTCCGCCTAAAACGTAAAATAAATAAATAAATAAATAAATAACAGCAAAAAGAGAGACGTAAAAGTTTCTGATGGTCACTCGAGTCTTAACAGTAGAGGTACTGTTTTTTGGTTTTAGCCAACGGGCACTCGAGAGAAAGTTTACTCGTGGGCTACATTTACAGGTGAAGTTTGTTATGTGGGGCTGAAATTAATCAGGGGTTACTGGGAGGGAGAAAGGGGAGGGTAGGGTAGGGAGTGAAAAAGGATGATCATTCGCGTGAAGAAGAGGCGAAAAGGAAGAAACATCGTATCTTCTTTGCGCGTCACTGGAGAATAGACTGGCTGATAGGTACACTAAAGGCTCTTCCACTGCCTTTTAGAATGATACATGGTGAATTAAACAATCGTGTACACACTACCCAAGGGACAGAAAAGGAAAGTTTAAGAAAATCAGAGTACATACCTTGTCACTAACACAGGGATATCTGAACAGATTGACGTTACCAAAGTCGTCACCCGTAGCAAGTAATTGCTTTCCGTTGGAACGACTTACTGAGTTGACATCTGTACCATCCGCTCCGTCTGGCCAGATCCCTTCAAGGAAATAGTACATGTAGTAATAAAAAAAAATAAATGGCTTAGCAAAACTTGCAATTGGAGATCAGCTTTACGTCGTGAATGATCCATCAGGGAAGATCAATTAAAGACTTTTCCTCTGGATCAAGTGATAACAAGATTACTATTACCTAAAAGAAAAGCTACTTACAATTATGGCATCAAGTCAATCTAGTTATTGTTTGCTATTTTCAGCACCAATTGGCTTTGATCCGTTATAATGACGCTACTAGGCCTTTACCAATCATGTTCATCATTTTAAGCTTAATCATTCACATATCACTATGAAATCAGAGGGCGCCATCACTGATTCGTAACCAGTGAAAGCCGTTAGCTTACGCAACAGCGTCAAGACAAATCGTTTTGTGTTGACCATGTAAACCTACGGCACCTGGTGCCGGTGTCCGCCTTAAAGAGTGTTGACTGCACATCTTATGGGACAAGTATCAGCACTGAAATCGGAACTTCGCCGTAGCATTGATAAACACAGCCAATATTTGTTCCATCACGGAACTAGGGTATTGACAACATAGGACTAATATTGAATTGCTACTTACCAATCACTGGGTAACCTAGCACACAGTTGTGTGTGGCCCACTCTGTGTTACGCAAGCTCGAGGCCTGGGTTATCTGTTCTCCCAGGTAGGGGTCCCCTGGGGATGTAATGCACACCTCATAAGTTAATGGTAGAGGTTTGTTCGAACAGCGGAAGTGACGTAATAACCTGAATATCAGGCCTTCCCTTCCTAAACGAAGAAGGGCGAAGAAAAGCTGATTTCTAAAAAAGCTCATTTCTTAGCAATCCTTCAACTTTCTTCCTGTTTCTCTCTTTCTTCCTTTTCCCCTTGGAAAACATCTGATTCCCAGGTTACTGAAATATGTCCTCAAAATTTCGCAGCTCTCCTCTACGAAAAGCCCGCTCATTTTTTAACCGAACTGTCAGCAGCGACCATTATCTTTCGACGTAGCGGTGTCGATAGGAGGTTTACTAAACATGTTAAGGAAAAACTTAGATTCCATTGGATGAAAAGTCCACAGACTTAGAAGTAACAAAGCTTTCATTGTTTCAGTAAGGCCTTCCACCCTCCTAACCCTCATATGAAAATATGAAATATATTTCATTATTCATAAAGTCGAGCCAAGATAAACTTGGCGGGCAGCGCAATATGAAGGTAGTAAAGAGCCAGAATAAGCTTTAAAATTATGGACTCACAGAACAGTAATTCGTAATCTGTAGAAGTACTCTGAAGTTTTTCTCCATCCTTTGACCAGTCTAAGTGAGTCACAGAACTGCTGTGGGCCTGCAGAAAAATATCAACAAAAGTGAAAAAATAAGAACAATCTGCAAGAAGTCTCCGGGAGACTAAGGGTGCTTACCATAAGTCAGAACTGAACGGCCAGGCCAGTCTAATCGTAAAAGCTACGCACGGCATTGATGGGTTTTAGCGAAAAGCCTATTTTACTTTCAGAGTGACTGGTTTGGCGGCCAAAACTGACTTAATATAAGCGTCCTTCGTTTCCCCTGCCAGGCTGCTCTCATAAAAGAATCTTTTGAATTGTTCTATTCTTCTAAAAATAAAACCTTTTGAGGAACAACACCACAAACGATAAAGGGCTAGCTGATGTCATGCGTTCCCGATGGTGTCCGCGGTGCTTTATCCCTGCAGCATGGCAAGCTCTCCCAGATTTGTTGTTATCATATCAAAGAGCTGAAATCGTTCAAGCTCCACACTGTATATACTGTATTTATTCGATTAACCGCCCTGGGCGCTTATTAAATTTTTGGACCTTGAAACTGGGCGCTTATTCGAGGTGGGCGCTTATACGAGGCTGGGCGCTTATTAAATTTTCACTATTTTCAGTACGTGAAGTATGTTTATTTTGCAACAAAACAATAAATGCTAATGACAAAACTCGAAGAAGTAACAAAGCAATGTTTCTGTAAAATACTCTGAAGAAAACTCCGTCCTCGGGGAAGTCTCTTATTGGAATTTATTCACTCAAGTGGGTGGGGTGGGGGTGAGCGCTTATTTGAGTTTGATTGGGAGGAGGAGGGGTGGGCGCTTATTCGAGGCTGGGCGCTTATTAACTTTTTCTGCCTCTAAGATGAGCGCTTATTCGAATAAATACGGTAGTATCAGTTTGCTAGTATCATTATATTATTCTTTCTTACCTTACAACGTGCTTTAAGCGAGACCGACTTCCCATCGTTTTGCAATTCATAAACGTAAATATCGTTATCATGGCAGCCCAAAGCGATATGAGTTCCATCTGAAACGTAAGAGTAGTTTCTATCAATGGCCTTAAGCTAATAAACAAATGACAAAAACAAGCATATCAACAAAAGCATAAAAGAGAAACACTGTTCCTTTTGTTGGCATGTTTGCAGGTGTTTACCTGGTGAGAATTGAATTTCTGATACTTTCTCTGGAGGCTCAGTTTTTCGTACGAGAATGACATCTCCAGTTGATGAGTTTAACAACATCCATCTGTAAAGGGAAAATAAGAAATTTGAGTACAGCAGGGCGGCGGTTATTCCGCTATTCCGGGCTTAAGTCACAGAGAATTTTTAAATACCGTAAATCCACTATTATATCCCCTGGGAGCATATTCATTTCAAGCACGTTTGAGTGGCGGGGCTGAACAGAGAGAGGGGGGCATATTTGAGCAGTCTATGCATGTCCACACCGGAAACTACCCACCTACCCCTCCCCTAATCCAAAATTTTGCCCTAAGTGAGAAGTTAGTGTGAACGTTGGGTTAGGTTATTGTTACGGGAAGGGTAGGTGGGTACGACTGGACGGAAGCCCTTAACGCAGAAGATCGTATGCTTTTACAAAGGACTCGCTTGGAGACTTCGTCCGAAATTGCTGTCTACGATTTATTTATCAACTAACCATAAAATACAACACAATACAGTGCAACACTGCCCTGCACTTGGGTGCGTTTTAGAAGGTTTCAGCCAATCAAAGGGCAAGCTTGGGAGCGAATTCTCGAAGCGCACAAGTCGCCCTGGGAGGTGCAAAGACGCGTTTCCTTCCCATGACCCTTTGCTTTAGCCTGTTATGATTTAGAGCAAGTTTCTTTCTGCAATAAGCTCTCCTAAATGAGGTACCTACCCGCCTTTCTTGAACCCTAAGGCAATGGAACGACCATCAGGATGAAATGCTGCTGCATTTATCGCTGAGCCCTGAAAAACATAAACCTCTTTAATGACTCTTGCGCTAAAAGCCATCACTAATGACGAAGTGTCCTCGCCTGTTTTTAGCCTGAGAAAAACAGCCGACATTTCCGACGCCCCCACTGGTTTTCCCGCGAAATGACGTCTGTGCAACGACTACAGAAATTCCATACTGATGACGCATCACTACCCAGATCTCATTGGTTGTAACAAACTTCTCTCACGGCACGACCAATCAGAAGCACTACCCAGATCTGGGTAGTGATCCGTCATCAGTACGTAATTTCTGTAGATCGTTTCTCAGACGTCATTTCGCGGGGAAACTAGTGGCGACGTCGCAAAATGACGACTGTTTTCACGGGCGAGTTCATAATAAACTGATCATTTATAACGCGAGGTGGCAGTTTATCACACATGATGTAACGGTAATTCAGTGGACGCCAAAAATGGTACACTACGACGAAAATAACCACATCTTCAGTGGAGGTCAAAAGTGTTGGGACCTTTCCAGTGATATTAGTAAAACTAGCGACCCCTCCCCTCCCACTTCAAACTATGTTAAAT